AAATCGCGCTTGTTAAAGCGTGCGTGTTTCGTGTGGATTAAGAAAAATATTTATGTAGTGCGGTAAGGAGAGTAATGAGACTGAATTGAATTAAAATATTTGATATAAACACAATTCCGCAACAGGTCAGGAAAAAGAAACATTTTCTATCTGACATTTAGCAGTATGTGAAAAATTAAACATTATCATTTTTTTTTTCACTATTCAAGCTAAAAATATTATTCTATATTCATTCTATATTCTTTCATGCAATTTCTGTCTATTATATGTACATACATGCTATTTCCATTAGAATAAGCTTTCTTCAGAATGTAATTTATCAGCGTAATTTAATAAAAGAAAATTTCCGTTCGCGTTATAAACGCGGATATAGATGTTTGAAAAATATTTTTACATTTACAAGACCCTGTCTTATTGTCAATTACGTAATATTAAATCGACGATTGTTTCATCAATCTATTGCGTATTTATCTTGGTACATTTGTCTCACAAAATTAACATAACATATCGTCTCCAACGCGATAGAGTCACTTGTGCTTTATCCAGCCAGGTAATGGTATGTATTTCACGTGAACACATGGCGTACTTTCGTGCGGCTACACATCAGTGCTCCAACCACTGACGTACTGCAATATCGCATGATCGTTTAGGCTTTGCCCGGTATCCATGATCGTGTCGACATGCAAAATGGAGACATGAGTTAATATTCAAAGCCTCTGACCTTATCACGGCCGTCCGAATACTTACTGAGGCTCTAGAAATGCTGTCGATCTATACGCATTTATTATGCATTGTGTACCATTCCGAAAACGACTTATCGTAACACAGAGAATCGACAATAAACCAAATCGTAAACGATACAACGAAAGGACAAGCGATTCAGAATGCGGAAGTAGTAAGCTTTTCGTTTTAAGCTTTTATTTGTTAATTGAAGAAAGAAGGCAGTTAATATGTAAATTAATTATAATTTATGCATTTATTATCAATAAAAAGTAACTTATGATTTTACACTTTTCTATAGATATTTTTAAGAATTTCTAAGAGAAGCAATTATAGAATCAAACTGTTTAAATTATAATCACCAAAATATACTTTAACTTTTACGTTAAATTGTAAATAGAGAACAATGCGAACAATGCGAAAATAGATACAAAGAGAGAGCATAATTTATTAATCGTTTCGGGATAAATTTTCATAAACGCAAAAATTGAATAGAATATATAAAACAATCCAACTCATGTATTGCATTAACATAAATATGTTATAATATTATAATAAAATGTAATGTATTGTTATAATATAAATATATAGAAACGTAAGATAGACAGAGAGAGAGAGAGAGAGAGAGAGAGAGAGAGAGAGAAACGAGAAAAAAAGAACTTTATTAGTAAATGCTTTATTTTACAAATTCTCGTAATTATTTTACAAATCATTTATTATTTTAGTAAAAAAATCTGGAACGATGCTAAATGATAATCTGAAATTATATGATATCTGAAATTATAGCTGAAAACATGTGCACAAATCGGAATAATAGCATTGAGTGACATTAAAGTTACATGTTTGTATCTTAAAAACGTGCGACGCAAAAATATGTCCGCGATTGGGAACGTTAATGGTTGTTACACACGGGATTTGGGATGACAGAATTTCCATCCGCGCCGAAACGGAAGTAAAAGTTTCACCGCGTTTCCACTGTGAAAAAGCGCTATCGAGGGAAATGGTGGCCGGCCGCGTTCGGCTGATTACTACTGGCAGCTTAAAAGCGATGATACATGCAAACGTAAATCAAACGGTGAAGTATTTTCAATGCACAGTCCTCAATTCGGTCGTGTTAAGTCGCGTCGAATAACGGTGGGAAAATCTCCCACGATATTTACTTCCATTTTGTCGTGACGCAATAAACCAATTAAAAATTTTGAATCGCGGCAAATTTACGCGTAAATTGGAGGCACGTTCCATACAAACAAACGTTGGATTTGCACTTTAGCGTTTAGAAAGTAAATCTGTATTTTTACTCAATGGATAGGATGAAATGTGAAATTTGTCCGCTAATATGTTGTTTTCCCAATTGTTACAGAGATTTCCCTTTTATTGTGCTTTCACTCGAACGGAAGTAAAAAATATGATAAAATTACTTTCTCTCAATGTGCATATTTAAATTATACCTTTTTTAAATTGCATTTAAAATTTTTTTAAGTATTATGAGAATTCAAGTTTTTAACATTATTGTTGACATTTATTTTCAGAAAATTTAATATTAAAATAACGAAATTTGTTAATTCAACTTATATTCGTGTAGCAGACATATAAATATTTTATATCAAGATAAAAAAAGATTGTTGAAATTATTATGAAATATAGTTAATTTTTTAAATATACGTTTTTTTAAATTTCAAGCAGAAATGTTTTAATTGGAATAGAATTTATATAAATTAGAAGATAAATTAACGTACTTCATTAATAGAATCTATTAATTTATTCTAGAGTAAATGTACAAATATTGGAATATTTCCGAGAATATCTTTCTCTCTAATTTAATATATTCGTATTATTACGCTTATCATACGATAAGAATTCATGCCTGTATTTTCCATTGCTTTATCGCGTAAAAATAACGCCCGTCACGACCGCGGATCGATATAGCCAGCGAAATAAAAATACGAGCAATTTTCAAAATTACCAATAACACTTTCGTGCAAAAAGTTCATGCGCCGTTGACATACTTTGAAAACGCGACTGACGTATCCGCTTGTATCAATAGGATCGCTGATAGTATGATTAGTTCCATCAATATATGTAGCTATTACACTTTTCGTGGAACAGAAATTCCACCGTGATATTTCACTATATATTTTATATGTAGTTTCGTACACGGCATATATTGCATAAAAGCCAACAAATTGTATTATCGAAATTTAAATTAATTATCAAACATACATAAAAATCATTCTTAATTTTTAAAATAATTCCTTCAACTATTGTTGATTTAAACATTGTTAGTTCATAATTTAAAAGGTGTACGTCTTTTAAGCTAATTATTTAACACCTTGGACACTAGCATATAATTTTCTATGCATTATTATTATAATTGTGATACAACAAAAAATTCTTTTTCTTTTGTCATTATGTTAATTTTATTATGTATGCTTAAATAAAAATAACGAAATTAATATATAACGATATTAAATATGTGTGTTGCAATCTATAATATATATTGCAGCGAAAGATGAACGTAAAAATAAATGCTTTTCTTGGATGTCGATGAGTATTTGTGTCTTCGAGCTGATCCGCGCTTCGAGCTAGAAACCGCACGTATCGCGCAAGCCTTTTTAAGTATATCTCTCGAAAGTTTTATGCGTATTCTTCGTATTCTTCGAACGATTTCCTTCGCATTACTTGTTTTCTTATAATTCGTATTCCCGTTGCCTTTAGTCGAAGTAACCACGTCGCTCGAGCTCTGGAGTTACTTGCATTCTCGAAGCATTGTGTTCAAGTAGAAATAGTTTCGATTTTCAAGTAGAAATAGTTCGCGATAGTATCGGTTTAGATGAGTATATATATAAATAAATGGGAAAAGATATTGAAGAATATATTCACGCAACGCGCAAAATAGGCATTTGCGTGGATCAGATAATAAATATAAAAATAATATTCTTGAGTACCTGAGATAAATATTCATCGATACCAAAACGGTTGATGCTATTTATGTTATTGTTATGTTATTGTTATTTCACAATTTTAAGCTAGCTTTTTGTTTTATATTTAAATTTACATTTCAACGATCCTCCAAAATTTTATCCGCTAAACATCAAAAATTATAAAAAAAAAATAATAATTTTCCTATAAAAAATAAATAATATTAAACGCGTAAAAGGATAGTTTGTAATTTATTAAATCCACTCGGTGACATTGTTTGATGTACTTTTCGAATCGATTTGGTGACATCAAATTGAAATCTTAAACATCTAGAGACAAAATTGTTTTTATTTGTTCTGCGTACAAGTTTTATTAAAATTGGTACACAGATATGCCAACATTTTTATTTATTAATTAACGGCAAATCTTAGTTCGGGAATTCAGATTTTGAGATATCAATGGAAGATTCTTTTCTTCTAAGATTTCATTCGTTTGCTGGAACTTTCTGCACGTTGCCGAGAATAAATCTCTAGGAGATCGGCAGTCAGGGGTTCGCCATATTCGTGATTGGATTGACAAGTACGTGGAGACGCGAGTAAATCTTTAAGCCCATCGCAACATCTCTAAGAGCACCGTAGATTTCGTGCCTTGATTACTGACACTCCTTGCACGCCCTGCCACAGTTTCTGTCCGTGACACACAGTGCCGTACGTCCGTGGAGGATAAGGGAGACGAGAGAGAGGAAGAGAGAGAGAGAGAGAGAGAGAGAGAGAGAGAGAAAACGACGGGAAAAGAAATAAAAGGAGGAATGAAACTCCGAGCGATGAATTATTAACCGTAATCGTAAAAAGGGGGGGTGGCGACGGATGCGGATTGGTGACGAATGCAGTTATGCGGTAAACGGAGAACATTCCTGCGACCGGGCCGCTGCGCGATCTAGAGCGATCTCGTGTAGAGCGACGGAACGAAGACGAGCAGTGTGTCCGGGTTTCTTCCGAGTTTACTGGTGAATCGCGCGCGATCGATCGGTCGCTCCGAACGATCCGGCGGCACGCAGTGTCGATCGCCGGCGCTTTATCGCTGCAGTCTAAAAGACTTGTAAAAAGAGAGTGAAAGAAAGAGAGAAGTGTTGTCCCGAGACATTCGTGTCTCGCTATATGTCTCGCGATACTACGGCGATCTTTGATTCTCCGAACGTTGCCGACGATGCGGAAGGCGCACGTTCGCGCGACGGAAGCTGGGACCGCCCTGTGAGGGGATTCCCCGATTCACGGCCGGAAAAATCATCTCGAAATCGTCGCGCGAGGTGTGAATCGTCAAGTCCTCCTCGAAACGATTTCGGTATTTACTACAGGACTTACCGTTCCAACAACCGGAAGATTTAACTCGTCAAGTGCGAAGACTTTAGCGAAGACTCTCTGGAGCTGGACGAGAGTATAGGTGAAAAGTTTCGTAGTACGCGGCACGTCGCCCGTCGAAAGTTTCGCCATAATCATTTCCGTGCACGTTATCGTATACGTGGCGGCTACAAAGAGATAGGCGAACACAAAGTGCGGAAAATTGTGCGGTGCACACACGTTATTTCTTACGAGGGAAATCTAACGTCGTCAGTAGTTAAGATAATCCATTTAATATAATCCCGTGAACTTCGAACCTCACGACGAACGAATTAAAAGTCTCAGACTAATCGCAAATTAAATCGTTGTTTGTTTCGTTCTATCGCGGATAGAACGGCTGTGTGGGTCGTGTGTTAAATAATCGGCGTAAAAGCCGGAACAAAACAACGTGATAAAGCCTGGTGTCGCCTGGTGGGGTATGTCAGTGAGTGGATGGTGATGATTAGCGATCTTGCTAAGAAGGATGTGAATCGTTTCAGTATCGAAGTGTAAACGTCTCCCGAAACAGTCGCGGAAATGGCTCTGAGATGGCAAGCGAGGCTCTCAATTGCTGCCATACTCTTCATGTGCACGGAAGGTAATTACTTTGCCGCTCTCTAATCATCTTGCATGAAACAGGATGGCGTGCGTTCGCGACGTTAGGTGACCGTGGGGTAAAATCGTAAAAAAATATTTTGAATCGTGAAGAAGAAATGAGACAAACATCATGAAATTGTTATTAATGCTCTTATATATCGAATTTTTTCAACGCTTTCTCGCAACTTCCAACATGAAAAATCTCAGATCATAAACGTTACTTTAATAACAAACGCAATCATATAATTTATAAAAATCTTTTTTTGGAATAATTCTCTGAAAACAGTGAAAATGTGATAAATTTGCATTTTACAGTTAAATATTTCAAAGTATTGTTATTCAGATATGTTACTCCTTACCATTGATCTTTTTATAAAAAAAAACAAAATTGGACTGTAAAATTTATTATTTTACTTTACAAATGATTATCTCAAAATATTTATGGATAATTAATATTAATTATAGTCATTTATAATATCACTCTACAATTACACTATCAGTATTGTTATATAAGAGACATAATATAGAAGATATGATAATAAGGAAGATAAATAGGCTTTTAATATAAGAGGCATATATGTATACAAATTAACAAAATGATACTCCGCGACACAGATAAAATCTCATCCACTACCATCCATGATAATTAAGATTCAGTTTAATTACGTTAATTGCAACACGACATTCCCTACTCGAAGAGAAAGAGAGATTTACGACTACTGTTCTAGTCAAAGAGTAAGCGAGAGGTAGGGGAAAGAAACGTAGAGATTTATGACTCATGTTTGCGCTTCGTAAACGCAGAGGAAGTCGATTGTTTGCTGTTTGCCTGCGATATTCATACAATTCCTTCACCACGTATGGTCGACGTAAACTGAAAATGGAAGATGATTTATAATTCGAGCTTTCGATTGCAGATGGGCACGTAGAATTGGAAGAAATCGTGACGTGAGAGAAACGTATTACGCAACTTTTGCTTAAAATTATAGATTTATCTTGTGAAAAAACTGTCTGTTCGTATATTTAAATGTGAATAGGAAATATTACAACATGCAAACAAATTTTTGTTTTGCGTTAATTAATTATTCCTAAAAATTATTCCTAAAATAACAAAATTATAACAAAATTCTTTTGAAAATCAATTATCTGTATATATTTAAATGATTGTGTGAAAAATTTTCTAGGCGCAAGAACAAAATTTTTAATTTGCGATTTATTCTATGTAAAAACAAAATGTTTCACATTGTTAGTAACTAACTAAATACTCACGAATAAAAACCGAAGTAATCTGATTATTTTGTTACACAAATATAAACATTTATATAAAAAAGTAAAACTAATTCAAACATTTCATATTGTGTGTATGTATATTACGGTTATAATACGATTCGACATGCGTGACACAGATATATATTATTGCAGAAAATCGATGAAAATACATAAATGAATAAACATATAAAACAAATGACATATTTTCAAATAGTAACTTTTATACATAAAATACATAATAGACATTTACACAATTATTTTAAGTTTTTAATATGATTTAGTAATCGATTAGATATATCATTTAATACAGAGAAGATACTTAATTAGAACTTGCTATATAAAATAAGCGAAATAATGAAACACATAATTCTTGTCATTTCGCCGATTAATTAGAATGATTAATGAATCGTTTCGCAAAGATAATAAGATTCTTGGTTGATTTGCGACGCAAACTAATATAAGATAGCTGTAGACTGTTATATTATGCAAGACGTGAATTATTATCTCAACTAAATTCTAAACTCTAATTAAAATTCTAAAAATACAAAGATAAAATTTTCCTTGCATAAAAATTCTAGATTTAAAGAAAACTTTAAATCTATGAAAATTGAAAATTTTCATTTAAAAGATAAATTTCATTTGAAGATAAAAAAATCATCTGTATTATTTATTTTTAATTTCATCTTCTTAATAATCGCAGTCAAATGTCAGAATTTCTTTGAACGTATTACGAATTCTGGAAAAGAGACAAAAAGTTATAAGTAAATTAATAAAGTAATTCTATTTATAAGCAAAAATAAAAAGAAAGAATTTTAATAAAATGTACGGTTAAAATTTCAATTTCCTATAATCTATGTTTATTTCTGATTTTTATTAATTTTGTTAACTTTCCGTTTTTTCATTACTAACAAGAGAGTCAAATGATTGCTGTGCAGGAATTCACTGTAGACGTTAATAAATTAATTAACATGCCGCGCGACGTTTATCGCGCGCGAGAAATATCAGGATCACGTACTATATCCCGTGCCCGCCGACTTGTCGTGGCACTGGGTGGTCGTAGGGAATAACGGAATGGTACTTGGCGGCGTGAAAGGAGTTACTCAATTGAATCCACGGTATCGGGCGATAAAATGGTACAGCTAATGGAATTACCGGCGCGCTTGCATGCGTGCGACGCAAATTTATCGCATGCATTATTCATAACTCGGCCCAAGTCGGCCAGTGCCGTGCCGATGCTTGCGCGCGAGTAAAATGTTTCTCCTTCCGAATGCACGTGCGTGTGTGTCGATTTGACAGAAATGACGTGCGGTATCGATCATTATATGAGTGCGTGGTAAAAAGTCAGAAACCGGAGAAGCCTCTGGGAGAGCTGACTCGTCGTCGTCGTCGTTGTCGTCGTCGTTGTCCTCGTCGTTGTCATCGTCGTCGTCGCCATCGTCGTTGTCGTCGTCGTACCGTTATATTTCATAGCCTCGCTTCACACCTCGTTTGCGCCATTGTCGTTCTAGACGAACAACTTTCGCAATTTCATTCGGCGCTACGGACTGCGACAAGGACTTTGCGCGCGAACTTGGTCCAGGTAAATTAAACGCTTGTCTCCGCTCACGCGATGCCTAACTCGGCGATCTTCAGCTGCCCGAGGGCCTCGGAAATTCAAGCAATTACCATCGCTCCGGGTATGAGATGATGAGAAAAAAAACGCTAGTTGCTAGGAGAGAAATAGATTGTGTGACGGAAGGGAAGAGTGAAATGTTGAAGATTCAGCGCGGTACAGATTAAAAGAGATATAATTTCACTGATAGACGCCACAGATGGATGTTTCCATTGTCGTAAATAAATATAGAAACCATTTTCATGTGTTATATGTAATCGATAGATTGTAAATTTAAAATCCGACAATAGACAATATCGATTTTACAATATAATACCTGGTTGGAATCGGTTTGGGACAATAGTTCGTAAACTATATGTGCCTGCGTAACGTATTTTTACTTCTGCTTTTCAAATATTCATTTGTCGCACATTCGCAAATATTAACTTCAGCCATGGCAAAAATAACAACTAGAGGCGCATCGTATTTCATGTCCTCCAAATAGCTTCAAATTTATTCGATTCGTCCTTTTTTTTACAAAAATATGTACAACTGCTAATAATTCACGAGTTATAAACAATGAAAAGTTTTAAATGTTTTTGACAAGTTTTCACTGATTTTTATAAATAAAATTACAAACAATCATTACATTGTTATACAAATTACATTGTATTATTATTCAATAATTGTTATAAATTTTTATTTTCATAAAATGTGTATTTTAAAATATATATTTAAGAAATTTTATAATAAAATTTTAATTTAAAATCACAAAAATATCTGAAGTAAAATATTAAAAAAAAACACATAAATTATCAATCATCACAAAAAAATTGAATCAGAAATATGATAAGCACAAAATTCGTAAAAATATAGAAATTTGATATATAAATGTTTCATGAAAAATAATTTTGCTGAAGTATTCAGAAATTTGGCCAGCTTTTAAAAATAATTTTGTTCAATTATACAATAATTATATGAAAGTGTTTTAAAACGATTAATACTGCAGAAGTTTTGTATATTCTAACAACAATATAAATATCCTAACTTTCCTTTTTTAAGCGTTATGTCTACAATTTTATTACAATCTTGGAACTTTCTCTTTACGATTTTAAACGAGTTAAAACATGCTAATTGAGTAAGATGTAGCGAGATAGTCATCGTGAGCGAAGGTGCTTTGCATCGGATCTCACGTTATTATAGGATCAAGGCAAGTTAATCTTCTGGAAACGCATCCATGGTTTAACAGATTTACACTCAGCAAACATTTCAGGAGATTTTCAAATTCCTGTAAAAGGATTGCTAAAAGGAAAAAAGATTTTGTCGAGCTTTTTCAAAAACTTTATTTTTTCTTATCTTCAATTTAGAACTAACCTTCTAGACAAAAATATGTTAAAAAGGGAGATGATAAAAATTTAGAACTGATTTTCCGAGAAGTATATCAAAAGCTGTCTTTTATTTTTATAACACATGTATATGTATAAATATTTAATACTAATTTTGTTTATAATTTTATTTTTAGAAAGTTTTGCACATTTTTCTATGTACCTCTTGAGAGGAATTTACATTCAATTTTAAAAGAATAATAATAGAAATCAAGTTTATAGTTTTTTATATTTGGATATTCAAAATAATATCATTTTCCTACTTCATTTCTTACGAAAGTCTTGAACAGATCTTCTGAACTTTCGTCATTGTTAGCTAAATGCAAGACTCTCCGCAAAAATGTTTGCATTATCATTTTCACAGAGCTTTACGAAGCTTACAAAAACTTTCCGACATTTTTAGAGTCAGCAGATAGCTTAGATAAACTTTTGAATTTCTTGCAGTTTTCTTGCCATTTCTTTCTCTTTCTCTCTTTTTTCCTATTTCAATATGCTGCTATTCCAAAGTGGAACGCGCTTTATTATACGCATTCTTGGAATATTTGCTTATCCATTCTTACGATTTATGTATATCTCATGTAAGTTAAAAACAAATCGGGACACATGTTTTCACAAAAATACGATATATTTCGTCCAGTGCACAAATATAATAAAAATATTAGCAGTGTATTATACAATTGACATTTAACATATTAAAATAAATGTTTAGAATAAGAAGCAGAAAAACTAATCCAGGATTTGAGCATTGAACAATATTCT